CTCTTGTTACACTGAACTTATTTAAAAAGGCTCAACGTAGCTCAATAGCTCTTAACTAAAATAATTGATTAACGTTGGTTTTTTTTCAAAAAGTGCATCCATGTCAATTTTAAGAAGACCAATTATTTTGGATGTATTATTGTGACACACACTGTACGGCAAATGTTTTGATTTATAAAACAGGTTGCATTGAAATTGAATTGAATTGCAAAGCAATGCATTGCATTGCAATTACAATTGAAACCAAGAAATTATTGTTTTTTTAACCCTAATTTTTTGGGAAGGAATTTTTTGCTTTCGCTGGGTGGTAATTTCAGAAAAAAAAAATTTGATCTATATACGTAAATTTTATTGCGAAAAAAAAAAAAAGTACAAAGAATAATAAAAATTATTCAGTGTCACAACTCTCATCACTGTCGTCGTTTACTGGGGTGTTACACATCAGTATCCCTTAAACTGTCCACATTTTCGAATAAGGGAATTTCGAAAAATTTTATTGGTAAATTACAAAATTCCACCAATCAAATCGCACAATAAAAAATTTTATTATGAATATATCAATTTTTAAGGTAATGATCGACACGGGCATTGTAGACTTTTTACAGTTTTACAAAACCCATAATAATAATGGCCGAATGGTTATGAAGCTTCCTATTTTGAGGATTTAACTGATAATATGCCTATCCTTAAAAACAAAGCTGTAAAAGCTAAAAGCCCAGTGGCTAAAGCCAAAACTACTGCGCTGGTGTCTGCTAAAAATAAAGCCAAAAACACTCTCGCTTATTACCAATGTATGTGCCACCAAGCCCAAAAAGGCATCAAACCCAAGAAAATCACCCAAGTTGCTCACGAATGTAAAACTAATGCTTTAATTATCAATGCCAAAATGTCGGTTCAAAAAACTAAAGCTGCGAAGAAAATCAAGCAAGGCTACGAACAGCATTTCTATATATAGATCAATGTATAAAATCTTAAATATCATTTGTTAATTAGAACGCGTGATGATTAGAAAAATTTTTCTATATAAAAAAATTTAATCGTACAAATTTGTATGATAGCCAGTTTAAGGGATAATATTGTTTTTATTTTCATTAAGAAAAGTAATTCTTACAAATGCTTTGTTGTCATAGAACTCAACTTGATTCCAATGGTAATTCTTGTATAATTTTTTTATAATAAATTTATTGATTGTTATTATTACTAAACTCTACATTTATTAGATTTATGACATTTTTTGATGCCTCAGCTTTACATGCAGCAGCATAGCAGGTAATCCAACTTTGTATAGATTCTACTCTTGGAATTGATTCTTGATTTATTTCATCATCTTCAGCCATCTTTATTAATTCAGAATACATATCTTGAGCAGTATAACAATCACTTTTATCAACAATACCTGCATGAAAAAATACTTGTAAAATGGTTATTATTTTTTTGGGAAATTTTGCTCCACCTTTATTCCCGAATTTTTGATTTTCTTTTAATGCCCATCCTTTTTTCAAAAATTCATCAGAAATGCTATTTAAAATTATATTAATAAATGGTTTGTTAATTTATCATTAT